ATTGCAGCAACTCCTCAAGCTCCTTTGCCAACACCTTCCAAACCCACAACCTCTAATACCTAGAAGGGGTGATAAATGAATGGAACACCACTGCCTGCAAGTTCGTCTCCAAGCCACGCACCATCTTACCTTGGAAGTATATCACCATTCTTTCACTGTCACAGGGTCAAAATCCTGGAGCTTCCTCAAAGCACTGTGGGAGGTCCTACACAACACAGAGTGTAGCAATTCAAAATTTCAGCTCATTAACACCAGGGCAATTAAGAATTGGTAATAAATTCTGGTCTGGGCAGTGATGCTCACAAGTCCCAAATGCAAAAAAAGACCATAAGCGAGGGTACAGAGACAACAAGGTGCAGGGCTGGATGAACACAGCAGGCCAAGCAGCATCATAGGAGCAGAGAGGCTGACGTTTCGGGCCTAGACCCTTCATCAGAAAAGGGGGAGGGGAAGGGGGTTTTGAAATAAATAGGGAGAGAGTGGGAGGCGGATAGAAGAGGGATAGAGGAGAGGATAGGTGGAGAGGAAACAAACAGGTTGAAGAGGCGGGGATGGGTCCAGGAAGGGTGAGTGTAGGTAGGGAGTTAGGAAGGGGATAGGTCAGTCCAGGGAGGACGGACAGGTCAAGGGGGCGGGATGAGGTTGGTTGGTAGGAGATGGAGGTGCGGCTTGAGGTGGGAGGAGGGGATAGGTGGGAGGAAGAACAGGTTAGGGAGGCAGGGACGAGCTGGACTGGTTTTGGGATGCGGTGGGGGGAGGGGAGATTTTGAAACTTGTGAAATCCACATTGATACCATTGGGCTGCAGGGTTCCCAAGCAGAATATAAGCGAGGGTGTTGTTCAGAAGATGTGAAATGTCCTAAGGCAATATTTGGAAAAACAATGGGAGAATTCTCCTGATGTCCTAGTTAATACTCCTCCCCTAATCAACAGCACAAAAATAACTAGTCCATCTTGGCATTCTTTCTGAGAGCTTGCTTTGTGTAATTTAATGTTGTGTTGCTTGCATTAAAATAGTGACTACAGTTATCAAATAGCTGCAAAACACATTGGGGTTTCCTGAGAAGGTGAAAAGACACTATATAAAAGTAATTCACTAACTGTTTGCTTCATTCACTTGAGGCAATGTTACCAATTTGCTTTAAATTCATATGATAACCCATCCATGCAGACAATGTTGTAGGCTTCTATGAGTTTGGGTGTAATAGGAGCAGAAGTGAGCCTGGAACATCACAAAACATAAAAGAGGTTGCTCACAGGATTTTCCACTTCTAATCACTTTGAATGTTTTTGTTACTTGATTATTACATTGTAAGCAACCCTCACATTTTTTTCCTGTGAATTAATTCAATCACTTCAGAGGTAAATTATTTTAGACATCCTCTTGTAGCTGCTTTGGACTGTGTAGTCATATTTTTCAATAAGGACACTATGTCATTTCATGTTAACAAGGCCTGGCCAGCATTCATGAATGCATCCACAACTATTACAGCTTTCAATCTTTTGTCTCTGTTAGTACATGTAATTAGATGTTTTGTTTTGAACCCTTTAAACTGGTGTCAGATCTGCTTCATTTCTATTAAAACTGTTGTGCATTCTTTGATTATTTCTGATATTGTTCGGTATACTGTTATGGTCTTCTCTAGTGGATATTTTAATTAACTATTAATTATGTTATTTTATGTTAACCCTTAGTTTTGACATAATAAGCATCATGTGGGCTTTGCACCTATTATTTGACAAACTTCTTTGTCTATGTGATGAAGTATGTGAAGGTATTGATGAGAAAACCAGGAGTGTCGTTGTGAAGTATATTACACAGATTGGACTTTCAATGTCGCATTGCCTATTGCCAAGACTTTTCTGGGAGTGGAAGATAGAACAGTAGATTATTCGACATCTTTCATGAAAGTTATACTAAGAGAGTCAGCAGATAAGTTGAAGGTATAAATAAAAGCAGGATCTTGTAAAGATGGGTGCTTAAAATGATTACTCAACATTCAGAATAAAAGGAGAAAAGCATTATATTGACGTGCGACCATTTAGAATTAGCTAAGACTAAGTTAGAAATGACAAACAAATTAAATGAAACAGAAAAGGAGAAAAATGGAAATCAGAGATCTTGGAATTGGAAAGTGAGGAGAAAGTAAAACAAAGAAAGATTGGGAAGATAGGATAAAGAAAATGAAAGAGAAAAGAAATTAAAAAGCTTAATGCTCAAAGGAGAGAGAATACAGACAATATGAAGACAGAAACATTGTAAAGGAGTAAGGGAAGCAAGAAGAGGTAATAGCTTAAAGGATGTTTCTGGTTCAAATGAGGATTACTTGATTTAACTAAATATTCATATTTAGTGCCTAAATTTAGAGGTTGGAGAAGAAAGATGTTTCACCTCATTTGAAAAGGTAGCTATGAAGGTGAAGTAGTCAAAAGATGTTTGGGCCTTAATGTTATAGTGTATTTTTACTGACACAGCTATAAGCGTGTACATGGGTTTGCCAGAATAACCATCTGAAATGGTTAAAAAAGTAATATTATTCATTGTATTTCCCTGATGTTCCTCAATTAGATATTTATAGAATTTGTAAAATAAGATGCAATGCCATGGAATCAATGGTTTTGATCACTGAAGTTAGAGAAAAGTTTTGAAAACTGTGAAGGAAAGCATGATTGTAGAAGAATTCCAAAATAGTATCTCTCGGTTATAAATTGGGAAATAGTCACATGGGATCCACAAAGAAACTGGAGAAACAGAAAAACTGAGGACGAAAAAAATAGAAGTTTTAGGGAACAAACAGAAGGATGCCAAAATAATAAAGGTGAACACAAGAGACAGAAAAAGAAAATAATATGCTTTTATTGTAATAAGGCTGGACATACTAAGTTAATTGGTGGAAGTTAATCTTACCACCATCATGTGTAATATTTATGTTCTTTTGTCAAAAGTATATTCATAGCCTCACGTAAATACGTTCGGTGACCTAGCCCCGCAGTAACCAAATTATAAAATGATACTTAGAGTCAATCAAGCATCACACTGGGATCTAACTTGACCAGTATTATCATCGATGGGAACATAACACTATGATAGGTCTTGAAGAATTTATTGCTGTGATATGATTGACAGAAATGCTAGTTTAAATGCAAAATAAGACCAAAATATGTAGGAGCAGATGTAGGCCATTCATTCTATTGAGTCTGCTCCACCATTCAATGAGATCATGGTTGATCTGATAATCCTCATCTCCACTTTCCTGCCTATCCCCATAACCCTTGATTCTCGGACTGATTAAAAATCTGTTTATCTCAGCCTTGAATGTTGTTAATGACCCAATCTCAACAGCTCTCTGTGGTAAAAAAAATCCATAGATTCACTACTCTCCAAGACAAGAAATTTCTTCTCATCTCTATCTTAAATGTGTGACCCCATTTTCTGAGATTATGCTCTGTGGTCCCAGACTCTTCACCAAGGTGAAAGAACTTTTCCATATCTACCGTGTCAAGTTCCCTAAGAATTTTATACGTTTGAGTACAGGCCCAAGCTGCTCAATTTCTTCTTATAAGAAAATCGCTTCATACCCAGTAAGCTAGCTTTCTGTGGTCTTTCTTTATTTAAATAATATTCACTTCTCTATTCTTCCTGCAAAAGGGCATAACCTCACATTTCACCACATTATATTCTATTTACCGAGTTTTTACCCACTCACTTAAGCTGTCTGTATTCCTCTACAGACTCATTGTGCCATCTTTACCACTTGCCTTCCCACCTATTTGTATCATCTGCAAAACTGGCGATAATACATTCACTTTCCTCAATTAAATCTTTAATATATATCTTAAATAACTGTGGATCCAACATTGATCCCTGTCACACACCACTAGGTACACGTTGCCGGCCTGAAAATGCATCCTTATCCTGACTCTCTGTTATTGATTAGTTAGCCTATTCTTGATCAATGCCAATACACTTCTTCCAAAACCAAGAGGTCTTGTTATTAAGTAGCCTAATGTGTGGTATCTTACCAAATACCTTCTGAAATTCCTAATAAATCACATCTGCTGTTTTCCCTTTATCTTTCCTGCTTGTTACCTCCTCAAAGAATTCTAGTAAATTTGTCAGGCATGATTTCCCCTTCATGAAGCCATGCTGACTCTGCATGATCATTGTAAATGCATCCTTTATAATACTGTAACATTTACCTAACAACAGACGCGCCTTTGTTTTCTTCCCTTTTTTAAAGAAAGGCTAACTGGCAGTTTTCCAATCCTCTGGACTTTGCAACCATCTCAGGATTCCTGAAAGATTACTACCCCTGAATCCACTATCTCTGTTGCTACTTCCTCTAATACCCTAGGATACATTCTCTCAGGTCCAAGGCACCTAAATCAAAAATTGGAGAAAGCAGAAAAAAGGTCTCTGGTCCAGTGACCCTTCTTCAGAGGGGATCTACCAGCCTTTAAGGCCCATTAGTTTCCCTAACGGTAGTTTCCTCCAGTGATAGTTATTGTATTTTTTTCCCTGTCATTTTTTCATTGAATATTTAGTAAATTTAGAATTCTAGTAGTATCTTCTTTTGTGAAGACTTATGCAAAGTATTCATTTAACTCCTCTGTGATTATATGGTTCCCCATCATGATTTCTCCAGGCTTGTTCTTATATGTTCACTTTGAATCTTCTCTTCCTTGAGAGGTATAGGGGAGGGAAGAGTTGGAAGGGTGGTGATGATGGGGAGAGGTGTGGTGTTGGGGAAGTAAGAGATGGGGGGGGGGAACGAGGTGTGGGATGTTAAGAGATATGGGGTAAGGAGAAGGGAGGACTAGGGGGGATGTAGGGATGGGGAGGGCCAACGCTGCTGACCCTCGCGCTCCTCGTTTGGTCCCTGTTTGCACCCTCCCTTTACCGTCCAGCCAGGGCCCCTGGCCGTCAGTAGCCAATCACCACCGAGGAGAATGGCTTTTAAACAAAGAGTGCCGGAGCTAGCCATCGCCTCACGATTGAAGTATTGTATCAATGCGCTCGATATAAACAGACGGTCACTACGTTGCTCCGGTTCGATTTCAGACCTTCAGTGTGTTGCGGCGTCGATGCTGGGCGGGCAGAGCTCGTTTCGCAGCGATTGTACGCTGTACGTTGGGGCGCACCGGCGGTGTGTTCGCGCGAACTGGTTGCTGCGCGGAAGGAGCTGGCCGAGTGTGAGGCGGTGCTGCGCCGTTTCAGAGCGAGACGGAGCAACGGAAAAAAAAAAGCTGGTGATCGGCTCGAGGCCTGGGGGGGCCGCGACACCGAATATCGCGTGAGGCCGGGGCGCCGTGACACCAAGGTCGGTACGAGGCCGGGGCGCCGCGACGCTGAGTACAGCGCGAGGCCGGGGCGCCGCGACACGGAGTACAGCGCGAGGCCGGGGCGCCGCGACACGGAACCGCCAGTAACCGTCGCCCGAGGCCGGGCCGCTATCGCACTGAGTCCCCCGGCAGGCAACACCATGAACCCGGCGGTGGAGTTCATCCCCCCGCCCGAGTGCCCGGTCTTCGAACCCACTCCGGAGGAGTTCGCCGACCCCTTCAGTTTCATCAGCAAGATCCGGCCCATCGCCGAGAAAACTGGCATCTGCAAAGTCCGTCCGCCACAGGTGAGGCTTCTCTGGGAGGACGGGCTGTCTCCCTGGGATGGACGCGGGGAGGGAGTTGGCGGAGTCCCGGCCATCAGCACCTGTACAAACTTCCGAGGTGGCAGCAAAGTTTTCAATATGGCGGATCCAGCCGGGACTTCCTTTGTGTGAGAAGAGGGAGGGGAAAAGGAAGGTGTGGAGATAGTGTAGGTAGAGGGAGGAAGGGGATGGGTGGGATAGTAGCGGTGGGGGTGGGAAGGAAAGAGGGGTGGGGAGAGGTGGAATAGCAGCAGAAGGGGAGAGGTGGAATAGCAGCAGAAGGGGAGAGAAAGAGGGATGGGGGGGGGAAGGAAAGGGGAGAGGTGGGATAACAGTGGGGGTGGGGAAGGAGCGGTGAGAGAGCGGCAGAATGGTAGCTGGGGAGGAGGAAGGGGTATGGAGGATGAGGTTGCTGGCAGAGGGTTGGGCAGAGGGGATTAAAAGGTGGGTATGAGTGGTTGGGGTTTTGAAGGAAGAGGTGGGATTGAAGAGGTTGGGGATGGGTGGGTGAGTTGAAGTGGGGTGGGAGCGGAGGAGCAGGCAGGATATGGTGTAGGTGAAAGGGTGATGGATGGAAAAAGTAGGTAGGCAGAGTAGGTAGAAGGTAAAGTTGAGGTCGAAGATCAGAACCTCCTCTTTTGTTACAGAATTGGCAGCCGCCCTTTGCTTGTGACGTTGATAAACTGCACTTCACCCCACGAATTCAGAGACTGAATGAACTTGAGGTATGTTGTCATTTTGGTCTGTATGTGAATTTGGGTATTATACCCATTTGCACTGATTGCATTGTGTGACAGATTTTCTGTGAAATTTGTTTTGCACTGAGATTTTTGTATATCACTTTTCAAATTGTTTCCTGATCCCTACCCCCTCCTGTACCTGAATTCTGGCCCCAGCTCAACATTTCTGTAAACGTGCAAGTTTCCTAGTCACATACACTCTTGCAGTAATTTGGATTGTGCTGTGTGCAAGTTGTCTGTGTTCCACAATGTAAGGGAATTGTTCAAATGGCTTTGAAGCATTTTATGCCATCCTGAAAAAAAATGGGTGCTGTATAAATCTTCACTTGTGTATGTATATTCTCTTTGCCTCATATACCTTGTATACAAATGGTAGCTATCTTATTACATACGTAACTAAGTGTATGCGAATCTTTGATTTGAGATATGTGCTGTATGGTTGAAAGTCTATGCATTGCCTAAAAGGAATTTTAAAAAAAGTGCAATCTGTAAAGAAAAAAAAACTCCTCTGATCTGTTCACAGGCTCAGACCAGAGTAAAACTCAATTTTCTTGACCAGATAGCAAAATTCTGGGAGCTACAGGGCTCAACATTAAAAATTCCACATGTGGAAAGGAAGATCTTGGATTTGTTTTTACTCAACAAGGTAAGATTTATATTATGTCTTTGGTATTGAGATGAAGTACGTGTCTCAAGAATGTACACCTGTCTCCATCTCTGTCATCACGTCTTCACTTTGCTGCCCAGCAAACTCCATCAGATCTGTCTCTCACTTAACCACTTATGTGCTATCTGTTATGTTCTTGCCTACTCGACCTGTCCAAATCCTGCTTGCACCATAGCATCAATCATACTCGCAACACACCTTTTGCAATTAGTATTGTCACCTGCAAACTGGGCAATATAACACTTGATCCTCATTTTCAAATCATTGTAGATTCTGAACAGCTGCATACAAATGCAGCTGCTATAGTAGGATATTATGGTTACTGTTCTCTCCAAAGGTTCTTTTCACAGTAAGATTATTATCTTGTCCTTGTTTATTGCATAATACTAATTGTAAAATAGCTGGTTTCTTTGGTTTCTCAACATGCTGCTCTTGAGAAAACCATCTCCTGCACATTCAAGGAATTTGTCCTCCAAAGACATTAACTTTTCCCCTCTCACCCCAGATGGCATTGATCTGCTCACTATTTTTACCATTTTCAGCGTTTATTTCTGCTGAAGTTTCTGGCTTTTCTTTCAGCCCTTGGCTCTAAAAAGTTGGTTTGTCGATTAATTAATACGTCAAGAGGCATTTGAAAGTTTTAAACATATAGAAACAAGACTTGAGTGTAGTGAATAGAAAAGTAAGTGATGCAGATACTGTAGTGAGAAGGCTGTGACGACATTGATTGATGGTCAGGGTAAAGATTTGAATTGGCGCAGTCTCCACTACCAGAAGGAGGACCGCAGCAAGACACCCTCAGTTCAGGAACAAAAACAGAAGTTAGTGGAAAAGCTCAGTGGGTCTGGCAGCATCTGTGAAGAAAAAAATCAGTTAACATTTCGGGTCTGGTGACCCTTCCTCGGTACTGATGGTAGCTAGGAATCTGTCTGTTTACATACAGAAGATTGGGTCGGGAGGGGATAGGGAGTAAACGATAGGATAAAGGCTGGAGCCTGAAGAAAGCGAAGAGCAGTTGATAGACAAAGGAGTTGATAAAGATCTGGCTAGGAGGGTGACTAGCTGTTCATGGGGTTGGTTAGTGACTAGCAAAAGGTAACCTGCCATTACATAGTGATTAAAAAGGCCTTGTGTGTAGGGTAGGGGGTTAGGACATGGGAGAGTTTAGGCCCTAAAATTTTTGAACTTGATATCAAATCCAAAGGGTTGCAGGCTCCCCCCAGTGGAAAATGAGGTGTTTGTCCAGTTTGTGCTGAACTTTGCTGGAGCACTGCAGCAAACCTGAGACAAAGATGTTGGCCAGGGAACAGGGTAGTGTTAAAGTGGTCCCTCCTCCTCTAACCAAAAGAAAAGTCACTCTGAGGACCACAAGCAAGGGAAAATGAGTGATCTTGCCCTGCTGCAGGCGACTACAAGGGAGAGAGCTGATTGGTGAGTACTAGGTAAGTCCTTACAGCTTCTATGACTTGCAGTGCTTTTTTGTTTTTTTTTTTTTGCTTCTAATCTGTAAGGGTAGTACATGGACCAGGAAGAAAGGGCCACAGATAACTGGATTTGACTTAATCTAATATAAAGTACTGTCCAAACTTTAATTTAAAGAGTAAACCACGGCAGGAGAGCTCAAATTCTTGGTTTACTCCTCTTGCTTCATGTGGCAGGTCGGGGACAGTTCCAGTCCTCTGGATCAGCAGGTGCGCAGGAAGCGTCTCCGTCTCCTGCTCCAGCTCCAGCTCCTGGAAGCTCGAGTTTCAGAGCTGGAGTAGGGGACAGTGTGGAGCATTTGTGAGGCAGAGAGCATCATGGATAGTATGTGTAGAGAGATGATCACACCACCAGCTCAGACTTTGCAGGCAGGAAGGAAACTGGTGACTATCAGACAGAGCAAGACAGATTGGCAGGTAGTGCAGGAATCTCCTGTGGCCATTCCCCTGCAAAACAGGTATACCGTCTTGGATACTGCTGAGTGGAATGACCTCTCGAAAGCATTGGCAGCCAAACTCGTTGCACCACAGTTCTGCTGCAGAGGGGAGGGGTAAAAAGTCAATAGTCTTAGGGGACTCAATTGTAAGGGGAATAAATGGGCGTTTCTGTGGTGGCAAATGAGACTCCAGGCTGGTACGTTGCCTCCCTGGTGCTAGGGTCAAGGATGTTTCCGAGCAGGTACAGGACTTTCTGGAGGGGAAGGGTGAACAGCCAGTGGTTGTGGTACACATCGGTACAAACGACATAGGTTTTTAAAAATAGGATGAGGTCCTAAAAGCAGAAAACAGGGAGCTAGGAAGAAAGTTAAGAAGTCTGGTAATCTCAGGATTACTACCTGTGCCATGTACTAGCCAGGTAGAAACGACAGAATATATTGGACGAGTACATGGCTGAAAAGATGGTGTCGGGTGAGGGTTTCAGATTCCTGGGACATTAGGACCAGTTCTGGAGGAGGTGGGACCTGTACAAATTGGATGGGTTACACCTGGGTGCCACTGGGACTGATGTCCTGGGACACTGTTTGCGAGAGCGATTGAGGAGGGTTTAAACTAATATGCTAGTGGGATGGGAACCTATGTAAGGAGTCAGAGGAAGGCAGCAAGGACCGAAATAAAAGGTCGAAAAGGGAATAAGAAAAGCGATAGGCAGAGAAACCAAGGACAAAATCCAAACGGGTTTGTTGAGAAAAGACCATGACAAACAGTGTTAAAAAGACAAGCTTAAAGGGTTTCTGCCTTAATGCACGGAGCATTTGCAATGAAGTGGATGAACTTAATCGTGCAGGTAGATGTAAATGGGTACGATATAATTGGGATTATGGAGACATGGCTGCAGGGTGACCTGGCATGGGAACTGAATGTTCCAGGATATTCAGTATTTAGGAAGTTCAGGTGAAAAGGAAAAGATGGTGGAGTGGCATTGTTGGTTAGAGGAAATTCTCTCAATGGTGAGAAGTGAAACTAGCTCTGACAATGTGGAGTCTGTATGGATAGAGTTGAGAAATACCAAAGGGACAAAAACATGAGTGGGTGTCATGTATAGACCCCCAAACTGCAGTGCTGATGTCGAGAATGGCATTAAACAGGAAATTAGAGATGCATGTGATAAGGGAATATTGGTGCTCGTGGGTGACTTTAATCGGCACATAAATTGTGGCTAATTTGATTTGCCCAATGCTGTAGAGAGGGAATTCCTGGACTGTATACGGGATGGTTTTCTTGACCAACAAGTGGAGGAACCAACTAGAGAATGAGAGGGAATCATTGTCGATCTAGTTGTGAGATCCCTTGGGGATGAGCGACCATAGCATGATGAAATTCTATCAAGATAGAGAGTGAGTTGTTGATTCGGAGACTAGGGTGCTGAATCTTAATAAATGAAGCTATGACTGTATGATGCGGAGTTGACCTTGATAGATTGGGGAGAGTTACTTAAAGGGATGATAGTGGATAGGCAATGGCAAACATTCAAGGAATGCACGGGGGACCTGCAACAAATGTTTATTTCAATCTGTCGCAAAAGCAAAATGGGTAAGAGGGCCAATCTGCAGCTTACAAAGGAAATAAGAGAGTATCCGATCCAAGGAAGAAGCATACAGATGGGCCAAGAAAAATGTGTCTGAGGATTGGGACCAGTTTAGAATTCAGCAAAAAACAACCAGGGGATTGATTAAAAGGGGAAAATAAAGTATGAAAGTAAGCTTGCAGGGAGCATAAAGACTGACACTACGAGTTTCTAGTAAGTACATGAAGAGAAAGAGATTGGTGAAGACAAAGGTAGGACACCTACAGACAGAATTGGGGAATGTATAACAGGGGACAAAGAAATAGCTGAGCAATTGAATTCATGCTTTGGAGAATGAAAGGTTTAGTGAGAAGGAATAATTGAAGGAGTTCAATATTAGTAGAGAAATGGTGCTGGGAAAATTGATGAGTTTGAAGGCAGCTAAATCCTCCGGGCCTGATAATCTACATCCCAGAGTACTTGAAGTGGATGTAGAAATAGCGGATGCAATTGTGGTCATCCTCCAGGATTCTGTAGACTCTGAAACAGTCCCTGCAGATTGGAGAGTGGCTGCTGTCACTCCCCTATTCAAAAAGGGAGGTAGAGAGAAAACGGGGAATTATAGACCGGTGAGCCTAATATCGGTAATGGGGAAAATTCTCAAATCCATTATCGAGGATTTTATAGCAGAGCATTTAGAAAGCAGTGGCAGGATCAGACAGAGTCAGCATGGATTTATGAAGGAGAAATCGTGCTTGACAAATCTGCTGGAATTCAATGAACATCTAACTAGTAGAGTTGACAAGGGGGAGCAAGTCGATGCAGTATATTTGAACTTTCAGAAAGCGTTTGATGAAGTCCTGCATAAGAGATTAATGCGCAAGATTAAAGCGCATGGGATTTGGGGATGTGTATTGAAATAGATAGAAAACTGGTTGGCAGAGAGGAAACCGTAGGAATTAATGGGTCCTCTTCAAATTGGCAGACATTAACTAGTGGGGTGTCACAGGTGCTGGATGAGGGAACAAATTTAACCTCTCCATGTTTGCACATGATACCAAGTTGGGTGGGAGCATGAACTGTGACGAGGATGCAGAGATCCTTAAGCATGATCTGGACAGGTTGGGTGAATGGGCAAATCAATGGCAGATGCAGTATAATTTGGATAAATGTGAGGCTATTCACTTTGGAAGCAAAAACAAGAAGGCAGATTACTACCTGAATGGCTGTAAATTAGGAGAGGGGAGTGTACAGTAGAACCTGGATGTCCTTGTGCACCAGTCGCTGAAGGTAAGCGTGCAGGTGCAGCAGGCAGTAAAGAAGGCAAATGGTATGTTGGCCTTCATTTGAGAGAGGTTTTGAGTACTGGAGCAGGGATGTGTATTTGTAGTTTTACAGGGCCTTGGTGAAACCACACCTGGAATATTGTGTGCAATTTTGGTATCCATTTCTGAGGAAGGATGCTCTTGCTTTCGAGGGAGTCCACAAAGGTTTCCCACGCTCATTCTGGGGATGGTGCAACTGACGTATGAGGAGAGATTTGACTTGGTGAGGATTGTTTTTGCTGGAGTTCAGATGAATGAAGGGGGATCTCTCAGACTTGAAATTTTCACAGGAGTAGATAGGGTAGATGCAGGGAGGATGTTTCTGATGGTGTGTGCGTGTGCGTGCCCAGGACCAGGCGTCACAGTCTGAGGATTTGGCCTAAACCTTTTAGGATGGAGATGAGGAGACATGTCTTCACCCAAAGAGTGGTGAGCCTGTGAAATTCATTACAACAGGCAGTAGTTGATGGCAAAACATTGAATGTATTCAAGAGGCGGCTAGATATAGCACTTGGGGCGAATGGGATCAAAGATTATGGGAGAAAGCAGGATTAGGCTATTGAGTTGGGCAATCAGCCATGATCATGATGAATAGCGGAGCAGGCTCAAAGGGCCGAATGGCCACCTCCTGCTCTTATCTTCTACGTTTCTGAAAGATGCGAGGGAGAGTGTTCCAAGTTTTGATTGACATAGTTGAAATATTATAGCTTTCAAATTCCAGGATACTTTGGTCATTATAATATATTCATTGGCGCAGTGATTTTTATTTTGGCTATTCATGCTTCATGGACTGTATACCACTTAATGCTGCTTTTTTTTACAGCTTGTTGCAGAAGAAGGTGGATTTGAAATAGTTTGTAAGGAACGGCGATGGTCTAAGATCGCGCACAAGATGGCATATCCACCTGGAAAAGCATTGGGCTCACTTCTTCGATCGCACTACGAGCGTATACTGTATCCATATAATCTTTTTCAGTCTGGAGCCAGTCTTCTGGTAAGTGTCAGACATCATACTGGTCAATAGTTCTGATGAAGTTACCGGATTCAAAGTTAACACTGCTTTCTCCCCACAGATGCTGCCAGACTTGCTGAGTTTTTTTTTTCTAGCAATTTCTGTTTCTATTTCAGATCTTCAGCCTCCACATTTCTTTGTTTTATTTCTGGTGAGTGTAGTGTATTTAATAGGTTCATGCCATTACTTAGGTTCAAGCCGTCTAAAGTATTCTGTTCAAGGCGAGGAAATACTGCAGTTTTACTGAACCATGTCCATTTCTCATGATGGAATACTATGTTCACTCCTAAGCATTGTGCACCATGGTGGCTATTCCCTGTACAGAAGGGACATAACAGCCGTCAGCTTAATGCTGGGGTTCATGAGGCTGAAGTTATAGAGATGGTTGTAATGTGTTTTGTATTTTTTCCTTTCTAGCCCTAGGAAAGAGGTTCTCTGGAATGATACAAGCAATTCAGGGCAAAATGATAAAGCAGAAACATACAAGTGCTGATCCCTTGATTTCTACCTAAGCCGTGTGTATTGGGTAAATAAGATTAGAGAGCGAAAGTATGGCTCAAAGACTGTCCTGGGAGAAATGGGTCCATAACTCAGGAGGCACAGGCATTAGTACAAGGGAATGACAGTCATTCAGTTGAGATGGACTTCGTTTGAACCAGTTGGGACCAATGACCTGGTGAATCACAACTAGTGTTTTACACAGGGCTGTACACTAATTTAGTTGTTGGTGTTGAAGGGAAGTTTACAATATCAAACAGAAATGAGAGATCAAGGCTGCAGAGAGTGACCCTCAAAGTTTATTTTCTTTGCTGTTATTCGAAAAGACAAGTCTACCAATGTGCTGGCTTACTACTGATCATTGTTACTTATTTTTTCCTTTAATTTGCTGCTATCCTTGAGTGCCCTGGTTAACCTTGGTTGACTTGTCCCAGTGAGGAAGAAGAATTCTAGAAAGGGGTTATACCTTGAGCTGTGGCTCTTATCTGAATGTATGCAGCATTTCTAACCAGATAAGAGTTGAAGGCACATGTAGAAATAAATGACTTGATAGGTGTTAGAGACTTAGTTCCAGTATGGCTAAGAGTGGGAACTTAATATTCAATGATATTTAACTTCTCCAGAAACATAGACAAAAAGTAAAAGGAGGTGAGGTAGTGTTGATAAAGGAAGGTATCAGTGACATAAGTGCAATAGATCATGATGTTAAATAAATTTGGGTAGAAATAAGGAATAGCAAGCAATATAAGTCATGGAAATGAGTCACCTTTATAGGCCACTGCAGAATTGCCTTACCATATGATAAAGGATAAATCAGAAAATAATGGAGGCATGTAAGAAGGATGCTACAATTGTAATGTGATCTTTGATTTGCATATTGACTAGACAAATGGACAGGGTAATGTGAAAGATGAATTTCTACAGTGCATCAGGAATTGTTTCAGAGAGCTGTGTATTAGAAAACCTATCTGGAACAGCTGTGTAGATCTGTTAATGTGTAACGAGGTAAGATTTTAATAGGAAATCTTGTCTTTAAGAATCCTCTAGTGGGTAGTGATCACAAAATAGAATTTAAAATTCACTTTGAGAGAAAGTAACTGATGTCAAAACAGTATCCACTCTTTTTTTTTAAATAAGGACAGTTGAGGTGGGAAGAAGGATATCTAAAGTAGGCTGGGAGTGTAGACTAAGGGAAAAGTCAACAGATGAGCAGTGGCAGACATTTAGGAGACATTTCATAAGATCAGCAAAATTTTTTTTCTGGTTTAAAAAGGATTTGATGAGAAGGATGAGCCACCTGTGGTTAACAAAGGCAGTCAAGGAGAATGTCCAATCAACGTCTACACGTGAGTGGCAAAAAAAAAGTAGTTGTAGGCCAGAAGACTGGGAACATTTTAAGGTGGGTGACTTTAAAAAAAACTAAGCCAGAGAAACCTGATTGCAAAAGCAAGTTGATGAGAGATATATTAAAACAAAAAAGCACAAGATTCTACAAGTACATAAAAATGTAGCTAAAGTAACTGGAACCCTTGGAGAATGCAGCTGGGGAACAGTGTAATGGGAGATGATTTAAAGCAATGTTTTTGCATCTATCTTCATGATGGAGACTATATAAACACCCCAAAGATAACAGATAAACGAGATGCTGATGGGAAGAATAATCTTGCAACAGTCTTTGTCATGAGGAGCAAAGCAATGAACAAACTATTGGGACTGAAGGGTAGACATGGTGCCTAGACCTGATTAAAAACCCTTGAATGCAGGTTAAGGAAGTGGTTGCAGAGATATTGAGATGTTGATTGACATATTCTAGAACTCACTGTCTAAATAGCTAATTTAGCACCCTTGTTCAAGAAGGGAAAGAAAGCAGGAATCCAGGCTAGTTAACATAACATCTATCATTTGGGGGGAAAATGCTTGTGATTGTTAATAAGGAAGAAATAATGCATTTGGTACTGCCACTTTTCTAAGTCTTGCACCAATTAACCATCGTTCAGGTGAGCTGTTTTGAATTGAGGCCACCTCTACCTCTGAATGTGAGGTTTCTACTATACAGTCTTTAATCTAAAGACTAGGTTTTACTTTGAGTAGTGTTTAAAGTATAAAAAGTAAATTAAGATTCCTAGTATATATTCAGTATTTTTCAGACAGGAGGTAAACATAAAGGAGTAATTTTAAGAGTCGGTCATGGCATGGCAGCTCAGCCTAGTAGAATGCACCTCTTGTGTTACTTCTGGTGTCCAGGGTGACTGTGCAGAAAGCATCTGTGGCTGAAGCTACTCCATCCATGTTTTGGATCTGGAACAGTGCTCATTGAGGAGCATCTGCAAGGCTGCGATCAACAGTGGAGGTAGAGTGCACATGCAGAAAGGTGACAACTGCAGTGAGCTATTTTTATACAAAAGACATCAGGTAAGGTAGTGTTGAACCCATTTCCTTCTCTAACAGCTTCTGTTTTGGATGCTGCTGGGGGCAGATGGCACTCTGTGCATTCCCCTGAGAAACAAAGTTCGTGATCAACCTGCATGGGGCGCTGGATGGAAGTGGAAGAGCAATAGTCATTAAAAAATTATATTGAAACCGGACTGGGAGTAATGTGCAGTGAGTCAGCTTCATGTTGAGGCAGACTGGCAGAAACTAGTATAAAGCAATGTATGAGTAAAATGGTGAACCCAGTATAAAGTAGCATGAGTGGAGATTGTTAAATTGAGTGAAATATTGGTGGCAGGGTGCATTTTTTAAATAGCATAGTCATTTGTTGTCACTTGTATTCTCTTACAAATAAAAAGTGAGAAGTATTTTAAGATGCCATATCATGGTGCCTATGTTAATAACAAGGCACAAATTAAAAAGAAATTAAGACAAAGTCCATCTTAGTTGAATTCACAGCTCCTGGGTTCAGGAAAAGACAATACCGCTGCAAGACTTCCATGCGTGCTGCTGGAATACCAGGCTGGAAGCTACTGTTGAAGCAGGCCATCCACACTGCATACTGGAATCCCAGACCACAGGACTCTTCAGAATCTCCCCTAAGATCAGTCTTGTCACCAATCCTGGAAAGGAAGACATGGCGAAAGTCACCCAAAGGAATCTCAGGCCTCTGGATGCTGGGCTGAAACCACCTCAACGCTGAAGTTCCCGATGGCCTCCACCGATGTAGCAGCTGATTATCAGGTCCCTGTGCCCATGCAGCCACCTTGATGCTGCCTCGAGTCCTGCTGGGGGCTCACCAGCCACTTGCTGCCATCCCTTAGGCCCCGCTCTGGGCTCATCAGCGGTCACTGTGCTCTGGACCCTAACAGAAGCCTTAATGCAGCCTTCTGCCCAAAAAAAAACAACATAGGAGGAGAAAAGTACGCAAGCTCTGGGCACAGGAGCCTACACCTCTATCTTGTAGTTTTAATAAACGTCTGAAGCTGGAGGTACAAGTCGACATATTGTGGGGAATGCATGATGCTAACATTATTATGGACGGGGCGTTCAGTGAGATGGCTGCACTGCGGTATAATTGGAACAGGCAGAAAGAAAAATGGGTGACCACCAGGCAGAGTATGGGAAGGCAGGTAGTGCAGGTCTATGGCATTACAGGTGGCTCTGCACAAGAGGGGAGGCAGAAGAATGGTAGTAATATAGAGATATAAGATTCAAAATTAAGGGAAAAAGTTTTTGTGACTGCAAAACAGACTCCAGATTGATGTGGTGCCAGGGTCAAGGATGTCTCTGGCTGCAGGGCATTCTCAAGTGCGAGGGTGAACAGCCACTCCTGTCTGTCACTTGCTGTTTGACATGTAAGTAGTCCTGTTTCGTAATTTCACCAGGATGATATCTCATTTTTTAGGTATACCTTGTGCTGGTACTAGCTTGCCCTCTTTTACAAGGGTTGATTCCCTGGCTTGATGGTAATGGTGGATATGCTGGGCCATGAGATTATGCATTGTATTGGGATATGACTTTGCTGATGGCCACAGTCCTTTGTGGGTGCCCAGTTTTAAGTTACTAGATCTGTTGATCAAAGTCTGTCTCATTTAGCACAGTGATAGTGCACTTACACTGCGGTATTTTGAATGTGAAGGTGGAATTTGATCTCTGCAAGGACTCTGGTGGTCAGTCTTACTAGTATTGTCATGGACAGATGTCTCTGCACAGGTAGATTTATGAGAATGAGGTCAAATAGGCTTTTTGCCCTCCCCATCTGCTGCGGACTTCAGCTGCAATGTCCTTTTAGAACTCGGCAGGCTTGATTAGTAGGCTGCTGCTGAGCCACTGTTTGGTGATGGACGTTGAATTCCCCTACCTGGAGTATATACTGTGTCCTTGCCACTCTCTGTGCTTCCTGTAAGTGTTGTTCAACATGGAGAAGCTCTGATTCATCAACTGAAGGAGGATAGTCGATTCATATAGTGCAGAAAAAGGTCCTCTTTTGGATCGTGGAGTCTGCGTCAGCAGAACAACGGCTAAAGTTGCCCGAATCCTAATTCCTTGCA